AAGGCCAGGTTGGATGGGGCTCTGAGCAACCTGATCTGGTTGAAGATGTCCCTGCCCATTGCAGGGGGGATGGACTGGATGGGCTTTGAAGGTCCCTTCCATCCCAAAGCATTCTGTGATTCTATGATTCCGACAAGAAACAGGACCCATGCTCTCATCCCTCTATAAAGTGCTGCTCAAGTGGGACCGATGAGTACATTAATGTGTACAAATAATAAAAAAAATAATACACCTGTTACATTAACGCCTCCAGCAGATCAGCCATCCTCTTGCTCAGCTCTGTCGCTACCATTATGCAAAGAAAAAGCAGCAAGTGCAAAATAGAGACAGCGACCCGATTAATGTGACAGATAAATAATGCGGCAGCCTGAAATGCCACAGAGCATCCCAGTGTCAGCGTGCCACCCGAGGCACTAAAACGTTCCCTAGCCGAAGTCTCCGCAGCAACGCGCTGCGGCCGAGACGAGCGTCGGTGCTGGGAGGCGAGCACGGCTGCCCGCTCACCGTGCCGGTCCCGCCTGCCAGCGGGGACACGCCGGGCCAGGAGGATGCAGGACAATGATGTCCCACACACTCTACCGGACTTCTCCAAGTAACTTCCCAGCCCACTGGGAGATCAAATGAATCCAGGGGAATTAGCCCCAATGGTATTTCACATGAATTATAAATGGCGTTACACGCATTTAAGTCCCACATGCTGCATGATATACGTGCATCAGGGGTGAGATTAACGCAGCCTCTGATAGCAATTTGTAAAAATTAGTTAAAATCAATAACCAGCATGGTAATTTCAGTTTTTGGAAAGCCTCTCCGGCTGCAGGCGGAGGAATTGCCATCTGGGGAAGCGGCCGGCCGCGGCACACGCGCACACCACGGCTCCCGCCGAGGAAAGTGGGGCACCTCCCTCCTGCTCCCAGAAAGCTCTTCTAGGCGTGGATGTCGCCTCCACTCCTGCTCCCCGCGAGCGGGGCAGGGCCCTCCCCGCCCAGCCCGGGGTGCTCTGCAGCACCGTCCCCCCCAGAGACCCCTCACCCTGCAGGGAGCCTCCGAGAGCACCCGCAGCCCTTCCCCGTCCCGGGCAGGGGCTCAGCCCGGGCAGCCCCTGCTCCCCGCAGCGAGCCGGGCGTTTCGGGCACCCCCTCCCTCCTGCTGTTATTCTGATACATGTGATTCCAGAGAGATAAATACTTCAGGGCTTTAAGGGCTCTCAGAGCAAAACTGCTGCTGAAATACAGAGGGAAAAGCTTTTAGCCACGCAGCCACCCAGGGACTCGGGGTGTTTCAGTGCTCTTAACAGGCCGGCAAACAGACACTGCGCTATATGTGTCTTGAGGCCCGCAAGGCTTTTATGTTAATGGCATTTTATCACCAAACACTGGGATCTGAACCGACAGCGATGCATATGCATCAGCAGGGAGAGCCACGGCACATGCCCAGGACCTAGCTCCGAGACATGTTCTCAACCAGCTGTGAACGGGAGAGGTTAAGCACCAAATGAAATTGGGGTATCAGAAAAAATATTTTCCAGAGATCATTTACGGTTGGGAGCTACGCAGGCTCTGGCTCCCAATTTATTTTTTTAAGTACATCTCAAGTGTGCTACATGCATAAAGCAGGTCCTCAAAAGATTGTGTGCTTGACCAAAAGCATGGCTTTTTAAAAATAAAAGTTTGGGGAGGCAGTCAGTAATTTGTCCTTGGTTAACGGTTGGACTCGATCATCTTAGGTGTCTTTTCCAACCTTAATGATTCTATGATTCTACTGCTTTAAACCAGAGGGGTGCTGATGCAATGTTTGCAGCTCCCAGCTGCGACCCCTGCAGCTGGAACCTTACTTTAAAGCAAAACCCAAGCTGCTCGGATGCTCACAGGGCTCCAGAGCCAGGCTGAGGCTCAGGAGACCCACATCAAAACCACAAGGGCTGGTGACAGAGCAGGCTGCCGGCAGCGCTGGCAGGGGACAGGGCACCCCCCCGCAGCCCCCGGCCCCCCACCCACTGGGCCCCCCTTACCTGCTGGGTGAGCCCAGGTCCGCCCGGCTGACGATGCGGTGCTGGTGGGGCGAGTACAGCCACTGGAAAGCCGTCAGCGTCCTCTCCTCGATCCGGAAGCGGCCTTCTCGCACGTACCTAAAAATAACAGCGAGAAAGACTGAAATATTTATTAGCGCAGGATTGTGGAGAGGGAGCTGCAGGACACGGAGAGCAGAGTGGCTGGCTCCACAGCACTGCTTGGAGCGGCGAGTCCAACGCCACCGCTAACGTGTTCCTCGGTGGAAGCAGCATAATGACATTACAGCCCCATCCGTCTGCATCCCCGCACCATCCCTGCCCGTCAGTGGATGCTCCCATGGGCACGCAGCCACGGCTGGGACAGGGCATCCCTTCGAGGGCATCCCCCAGGGAGGGGACAGCAGCCCCCCAGCCACTGCTGCCACCAGGCCAGCGGTGCCCATCACCCAGCGCAGGCAGCGGGACCCCCCCAGGCCAGACCCACGAGCTCCCGTAACTCCCACGCGGAGAGAAGCGAAAAGCAATTGTTCCCAAAGCAGCACAGGACGTTTCACTGTAAAACCCTGGGAGGCAGAGGCGCAACACCCCCCGCTCAGCATCCCCACCCCAGGGCGCAGCCTGCCTCCCACCGCTCCCGCCCAGCCGCTCCCCACCAGCCCCGGCACCAGCCCTGTCCCCGGCGTTATCACCGGCTCCAAGAAACGCCTCCCTAACAGTATTTCGAATGTCAGGCCAGATGTTGAGGCTTATCAAATAACATTCCAGTGATGAATCGATGGTTATTATCTTGATTAGAGAAGTACGGGTTCTCTGTTACATGAGTAAGATGTTGGTAACTGCGGTTGTTCCCATCTTTCAGAACACAATTCTGCTGCCTGCCTCTATCCCAACAACCAGCTGCGCTTCACACACCCTCCTCTGAACATGAAATTTCATCAGCAAGCAATTAATTATTTAAAGCCCCTGTAGTACTGGTTGGAGACACGCACGCACACACAGCTGCGGCATCCATGAAACCCCAGCCAGGGCTGGGGCGAGCTCGCGGTCCTCTCCTCTGCGTGGGGATGCTCTGGGCACTGCGTTCCCACCATTAACCGCAGGGATCCAGCCACGCTGCCTGGATGGGGCCAAGGGGATGCCCCACATTGGCACGGGCTCCCCGCAGCCCTAACAAGCGGGGCCATGGGTGGAGCCATTGGCTGCTGCTGGGCTCTGCCGCCTGCCCGAACTCACCCAGCCCAGCCCAGGGCTGCGGGGTCCTGCCGGAGCCGGGACCTCCTGCTCTCAGCAAAAGGAAACCTGAAAGGCTCCTTGAGTATCCCCGGTACAGGCTGACCTGCTAATTTCCTTGGTATAAGCAACCAAGCACATTGCAGTCCCCGTGCTCCCCTGCAGCTCTTGCATATCATAACGTTGCACAAAGTAGTGGCAGGCAAGCCAGAACGTCTTTTGGGAAGGAAGGGAGGGTGAGGCAGCGGGGATGGCAGAACGGCCAAGGCAAGTAGCCATTGTAACAGTTTAGGTCTAAGCGTGCAAAAAAAGAAGTGCCCCAGGCTGCTGAGGAGGGGAAAAAGAAAGACAAAAAAAAAAAAAAAATCTTCATAAGCTTTGAGCAATCCTCTGATGATTTCCACTCTGGCTGTTCACCCAGGTTTGCAGGGATCCCACCCACACCTGGGAGCCCCAGTGTCCAGCCTGGCTCTGCTCCCAGCCCGGCCGGTGTTGGGATGCGGGACGAGCCCTGGGCTCGCTCCCAGCCCCTACATCAGCAGCACCACGCTGTAACGGGAGTCACCCCAGTCACAGCCTGGCATCGCTACAGCGCCCTGCTCAAAAGTCACAAGCTTTGGACGTCACAACTCCACAATTAAAAATAAAAAAAAATACAGAGAAAGCTTGTTTCCAATGTCAGCCCATCCCAGCTGCTCCGGTCGCTGCAATCGCCCTGTCCCCAGCAGGAAGAAGCAGGTCCCCACGTGCCAAAGCCCTGAGCAGCCTCAGCACCCCTTCGCCCCACGACAAGAGCCGGGATGCCCCCAGAGCATCCCGTGAGCATCCCAGAGACTTCCCGCTGGCAGGTACAAGACCCAGGCATGCCCGGGACCAGGACACTGCTGGTCCCCACGCTTCTCCCGGGCAGGGCAGGGCCGTTTCCCAGAAGCAGGATCTCGCTTTAGGATCCGACTCTTCTACCTCTACTGGACCCCAAATGCCAGAGATGCCCCTTGCCGCAGCTGCAGCCCCGAACCGCCCTCTCCCTGCCCAGGGACCTGTGCCCCCGGCCCCGGCTGGAGCAGCCGCCCCGCTGGGACCCACCGCAGCCCCGTACCCAGGACCACCCCGAGGGGCCCCGGGGCTGGCCCGCCCCCCCCCCCCCGGGCCCCCCCCG